ACCACCATCATCACCACCACCATCACCATCACCATCATCACCACCATCATCATCATCACCATCATCACCACCACTATCACTGTCATCACCATCATCGTCATCACCACCATCATCACCATCACCACCACCATCACTGCCATCACCATCATCACCATCACAGCCTCTTTTTTTCCTTCCTGCTAATCCATCCAAATCCCCTCTGCATTATCCTCTTCCTCGCCTTCCTCCTTCCTTCCTCCACCTGTCTTTTCATAATCACCTCCCTCTTGAAATCAAACAGGCCGTGACAGCTCCCTGGGTTCACACATAGTTCTAGGTCTCGGCAAGTCAGTGAACAACCCTGTACCTATCGCTTTTCCAAAGCTCTTCCGTTCTCAGTTGTAAGTCACCTGTCTCACCCACAGAGATCACTCCCAGTTTCTGGCTCAGAACATGCTACCTCTGCTTGCACCAGCAGTGCCAATCCCATCTTCCCACTGTCACGAGTTGGGACCCCACTCCCTTGACCACAGATTGCTGGGTCAGGAACAAGCACCTGACGCAAGCTGAGTACCTCTCCCAGGACTCAGGAATCGGGACTTGAGAGTCCAGGTCAGTGCCTGCTGGGGTGGAAGGAGCAGGTGGCAGAAGAAGAAGCTGGACAGAGGAGGACAGAACCACCGAGAGATGGCAAAGGGGAGACCCGGGTCCTGACAGGGTGAGCAGGCGGCTGTCTACAAGCCAGCAAGAGAGCCCTCACCAGAAACGGAATCAGCCAGAACCCTGATCTTGGACTTCTAGCCTCCCAGACGATGAGAAGAAACACTTCTGATGCTTAGCCACCGAGTCGGTGGCGTTTTGTCATGGTGGTTCTCACAGACGCCGTACACATAGGGCTTGGTAAGCTGCCTCCATAAAAGACAAGACGGTAAATATTTTAGGCTTTACGGGCTACATGGTGTTTTCACAACTACTCGACTCTTCTGTTGCAGTCTCAAAGCCACCATAGATAGACATAAATGAACAGGCATGGTTGTGCTCCAATCAAATTTCATTTATGAGAACAGGCAATAGGCTAGATTTGGCCTCTGGGCGATACTTGCATGATGCCTGGCTTAAAACATTTCTTTTGGCCTGGCGCGGTGGCTCACGCCTGTCATCCTAGCACTCTGGGAGGCGGAGGCGGGAGGATGGTTTGAGCTCAGGAGTTCGAGACCTGCCTGAGCAAGAGCGAGACCCTGTCTCTACTAAAAATACAAAGAAACTAATTGGCCAACTAAAATTATATAGAAAAATTTAGCTAGGCATGGTGGTGCATGCCTGTAGTCCCAGCTACTCGTGAGGCTGAGGCAGGAGGATCGTTTAGCTCAGGAATTTGAGGTTGCTGTGAGCGAGGCTGACGCCCCGGCATTCTAGCCCAGGCAACAGAGTGTGACTCCGTCTCAAAAAAAAAAAAATTCTTGTGTTCATTTTGTTCAGAAATTAAAATTACGACAAGAAGTGATGGGAAAGGCTTGTCTCTGCTCCAGGTGGCTTTGGCTGGGGTGGCCGCCTGGGGGCTGGAGGGTCTCCTTTCAAGGTGGTTCACCTTGCAGCTCAAGTGCTGCTGGCTGTGGCTGTGGCCGGGAGGGCCCTGTGTCTCTCCTTGTTGGCTTGTCCTCGGGCTGCATGGGCTTCCTTACGGCATGGCGACTCTGTTCCCGGCTCGTGCATCCCAAGAGCATGAGGCAGAAGTCGTGTCACCGTGTATGACTAACCTTTTACATTACATTGTGTCACTTCTTCGTTACTGGGGGACTCTGGGGGTGGAGGGAGGGACCGCAGCGCACCCCTCTCCATGGGAGGGGTGTCAGCAGTCTACTGAGAGGAGACTGCGTGGGATGGGGTAAACACGGGCATGGCCGGGAAGGCGGGCACAGGTAACTGCCAATGGTGGCCAAGCTCTCTGAAGGGCACACAGGCTGCTGGGGACACAAAAGGAGGGCTTGTCTAATGTAGTGAGGCCAGGAAGCCTCTCTGGAGCTGACGCCCGAAAACTCCCCTGTCCTGGGAGGAGAGACCAGGGGGCACACGGAACAGCAAGTGGCAGCGCCTCTTGGGGCCAGAAACGTCATGGGCTGGAGCCCAGGCAGACCTGGCATGTCCTCCCAGGGAAGGTGCTTCGCCTGGGCAGGCCCTCGCGGGTCTCTTTCCAGAGGAGACGTGCAAGCCCACAGCCCCCATGTCATGGGTGAGATGACCGGCGTGGGGGGCCTGCTTCACGGGGGGCCGTGGAACCCTGCACGTGGGTTATAGCTTTTCTTTCTTTTCTCCCTCGTTTTTGTTCTTGAATCGCTGGGTGGTACTGCGTGGATAGCCTTGCAGAGTTTCCTCCAGAATGAAATCAATACTGCCAGCCCGATTTAATGGGAAAACTATTTCCAAATTGCACAAAGCAAATGCCTCCCATATCTGCATTTCAGAGGATGGAGTCTGCCACTGCCGCAGTTACCGTGAAGGTGGGAGACCGGAGAGGGTCAGCTGGAGGCGGGGGGCAGCTTAGAACTGCGAGGGGGCGGGCGTGCTCCGGCCAGAGGTAGAAGATGCTGAGCTGCCCGGTAGCTGCTTGGAACCAGTCACAGGTCTCCGGCAGGGCCTCCGCAGCAATGCACTGCCTGTGCTGGGAAGGGCTGCTGAGTCAGCAACAGAGGGCTGGAGCCGGGACTGGAAGAACGGCTGTCACGGCAACGCCCCCTTCAACAGGCTGAGGGCCGGTGTCCCCACGTCGGAACCGTGGTCTTCGCAGGGTGGCTGGCCTCCTAATGACAACATTGGGAGGTGCCTCTTCCTGTCCTGAATCTCAGGGTCTGCGGCCATTCCTGGCTCACCGTGGTGCCTGTCACCCCGCCACCCACCCCCACCCCCTGCTGTGTGCTTGCCCTGTGCCAGGCACACAGCTCCTGGGATTTTTCTCGGCAACCCTATGGGAGCTGCTGTGATCCCATTTTACAGAGGAGAAAACTGAGTTCAGAAACGTTAAGCAACTGCCCAAGGCCACACAGCCGGTGGGCCCTGGAGCCAGGATTGGAAACTGAACCTCGTGAGCACACGTTGCTGCCTTCTGCACACGCATGTGCAACACGTGATTTTTCACTGACACGGGAACAGCCCTGAGATGCTATTTCATACCCGTTTAGATGAATAGAATAAATCAGGAAGTTTGATAATACCAGTGTCAGCCAGGAAGTAGAGAACCACAGACCCAGGGACGCTGCGGGGTGAGAGGTAAATGCCTCCAGATGTTTCGTGGAGCAACTGGCAGCTTCCAGCGAAGTCCTAGACGTACCCGATCCAGCAATTCCACCCCTAGGCATCTAGAGAAACCTGCTGGAGCCCAGGAGACAGGACTGGGAAGTGCACTGATACATTGTAACTACACAGAAGAAAACAAAACCCCCTGAATGCTCCTCTTGGCTGGTGACGTTTTTTGTGGGGTGGGTTTTGGTGCTCAAGGCCAGAGGTCAAGGTTGAGCCTCCAGGAGGGGCTGCTCATCCTGTGGGAGCCCCTTCAGGCAAAGGCTGGCCGTGGTCCATCTCTCAGGCAGGGGAAGGTGTCAGCAGGGTCCCCAACTCACCAAAGGCTCCAAACTGCGCCTCTTCCTGTCCTGAACCTCAGGGTCTGCAGCCATTCCTGGATCACCCCGGTGCCTGTCAACTCGGCCCCTCCTTTAGGTGGAACCAGTGCGGCCTCCCCAGACCCCCGCAGCCCTGTGCATGGTGGCTCCCGCTTGCAGCAATATTCCATATTCCAGGAGAGCTTGGGGACCGGGGCCGAGGGCTTCTGCCTGCGGATTTGTGGTCTAAGAAATGCATTTTAAATGGGCCCCAGGATTCTCGGATCCAAGAATCAGACATCTCTTGGGGAGTGGTGGCGGGGAGCGTATGTGTGGAGAGAGACCGACTGCCGGATGCGATGCAACTCTGCTCTCCGGAGTGGGGGGCTACCTGTTGGCCAGGGCGCAGGACGCACGGAATTTGGGTGACTTAGCTTCAAGATACGTGCTTGTGGCTCTACTTTCACTTAATTTATGGGGGGGAAGATTCGCCAAATACATGTTTTCTGAGGCGAGCACCCCTCCCCCCACCCCCCTGGGGACCCAAGCTGCCGAGAAGGAAAAAGGATGGATTCTTTGTCATACAAAAAAACCACCTGTGGTTTGCAAAGAGCCTTTCAGTCAAGTCCGGGGCAGGTGGAGCAGATGCGAGCCAGGCGCAGCGCGCGGGGCGGGAAGGGTCGGGTGCCCTGGCTGACAGACAGGGGCAGAGGCCCCCCAGCTAGCAGGGCCTGCTCCGCGGGCCTCACCTACTGGATCACGGGAGGGTCGCAGCGCGCCCTGGGTGCTGGGCGCCTTCCCATTACGCAGTTCCTGTCCCTTTAAATCCAAGTCCCGGGAAAGGGGGGGCTGGGGCGCCCTGGCTGGACCCCTATTCCCAGGCCGGCTGGGGCCAAGGGACAGCCCGGAGGAGGGCGCGCGCCGGCTGGGGGTTCGCGGGCGGGGCGCCCCGGGGTCCTCGCCTGCGCGCCGCGCCCTCGGCCAGGCCGCCAGCGCCCCTCTCCAGGCCGCCGCGCTCCGGGGCGGGCGCAGGCGGGGCGCGCGGCGGGGTGCCGGCGGGGGTGCGGGTGCGGGCGCGCGCGGCGCCGGCCCGAGCGCGCGAGCGGGCCCGGAGCGCACGCCGCCGCCGCCGCCGCCGCCGCCCGAGCCCGCCGCATTGCTGCTGCCCGCCGCCGCCCGCGCCCGGCCCGCGGCCCCAATATGGTGCGGCCGCCGGCCGCCGCCGTGCCGCGCCCGCGGGCCCCGCCGCCGCCCTCGGGCGCCCGCAGCGCGGCAGCCGCAGGTGGGGGGCTGCGGCCCGGGCCTGAGCCGCCCGCGCCCGCCCGGCCTGGAGGCGCCGTCCCCGCGGGCCGCTGGCGAGGGGCATCTGCCGCTGAGGTGGAGCCGCGGGCACCAGCGCCGCCGCTCCTGCCCCCTCCCTCCCCTCCCCTCCCCCTCCCCCCGGTCCTGGCTCCAGCGGGAGCGCGAGACGCCGGTCAGGCTCCGCGGCGCCGCCGGGCAGGATCGCTCCCCGCGACCCCGGGACGCGCCGCGGCCGCTCCGGAGCTGCCCGCCGTGGGTTTCGCCCTCCCCATTCCTCCTTTAGGAAACCGAATCAAAACAAAACGCCAGCCAGCCCGCCGCGCAAGACTCCGGTTTGTGGATCGCCTCCTGCTTGTTTTCACCGTTTGCGGGATTTGCAGACCGAGTTTCATGCATGTCCAGTGGGGGCAGGTTTAATTTTGACGACGGAGGGTCCTACTGCGGAGGCTGGGAGGACGGCAAGGCGCACGGCCATGGCGTCTGCACCGGCCCCAAGGGCCAAGGCGAATACACCGGCTCGTGGAGCCACGGCTTCGAGGTGCTGGGCGTCTACACCTGGCCCAGCGGCAACACGTACCAGGGCACCTGGGCGCAGGGCAAGCGCCACGGCATCGGCCTGGAGAGCAAGGGGAAGTGGGTGTACAAGGGCGAGTGGACGCACGGATTTAAGGGGCGCTACGGGGTGCGGGAGTGCACGGGCAACGGGGCCAAGTACGAAGGGACCTGGAGCAACGGGCTGCAGGACGGGTACGGGACCGAGACCTACTCCGATGGAGGTAGGTGCCGGGCGCGGGCTGGGCTGGGGCCTCGCGGCGCGGGGACCTTCTCCCAGCCCCGCTGCTTCTGTTTCTGTCTGGGGAAGTTGAGCTGCTCCCTCCGGCTGGGCCGTGGGCACCTGGGGCATTTCCTGGGGTTCCCTGGGTGCCACAGCCGCTCCTGGCTACAGGTTGCCCCGCTGCCTGGTGGGGGACCGAGCCCCGGAGCCCGCTGGAGGGTGTCGGGGGGCTTCCAGAGGCAGAGCCAGGCCCGGGGCTGTGGCGGCGCGGAGCTGACTGTCAGTGCATCATCCTCGCAGGCCTGAGCCCTGCCGGAGAGGCTGGGCCCGGGGCCGCCACCTCGGGGACCCACCAAGGGCAGAGGGGGGACTGGGAGAGGCCCCTCCCCATGCTGGCACGGCCCCCTCGGTGTCCGCCCGGGGATCAGGCCCCAGCTTCACTTCTTGTTTCCCTGCAGTGCCCAAGGGCCTTCCTCAGAAACGAATCAACCCAAGCCACGGGAAGGGAGCGATTGGGAGCGCTAGAGGCGGGGGATGGCTGCCCAAACCAAAACAGCCAGGCAATAAACTTCTAGGTGGTTGGACGCGGGCTGGTGCTGTCCAAGCAGCCTGCCGGAGGGAGGAGGGGAGGCCCATCTGCTGAGCGAGAGCCCAGGCATCTCGCCTCTCAGTGGCCGCCTCGTGTGCACCGTTAGTTTAGGGGATTGTTCTGCGCCTTCCTTCTAAGATGCCACCTCGGCCAGGGCAGAGCCGGGTGCCGGGTGCCCGTGAGCGGCCAGCCCGCGCGGCTGGGAGACGTTTCTGTGCAGCGAGGCTTAGCCGGCTCTACGGCCGCCCCCCTGCCCCGTGCTCCACCGTCCACCCTCGGTGGTGCGTTGGAGGCGCGTGGAGCAGTTGCTGATCCTGGAAGCCGGACCCCAAACAAACCTGCCCCCCCCCAGCACCCTTCCCCCCAGCCCCCAAGTCCAGGAGCTCTGTCTTCAGAAGTGGCTTCCTTGCCGCCTCTGGGCTGCTCTTCCGGCGTGGCTGCCTGCCGGGGAGAGGAGCGAGAGGCAGCAATGACTTGTGCTTCTGCCGGGCATAAACACCGGGAGTGTGCCGTCGTCCTCCCGGCCTGCCCGCTGCCTCCGAGTCTCAGGAAGAGAGAGAGAGAGAGAGCTCGGAACACCTGCTCCCTGGCCACCTCCGGGAGTGACGGGGGCTGCAGAGGAATTATTATTTTGGCTTATGCAACTGAAAAGCAGGGTTCGTTATCACCCGAGCAGGAGGAGGAGGAGGAGTCTGGGGCAGTTAATTATATAATGCTCCTGCCTGTCAAAGCCGTGCCCAGCCCGTCTCAGGCGGCCTCTCCTAGGCTTTGTTGTTTTCTCGGAGCAGGTTGGAGAGCTTCCCTGACCCTGGGGCGCGGAGGGCCGGGCGGGAGCAGACGGTCCTCCCCTGGTGCCAGGCTGTGGGCCTGTGTGTGTGCGCGTGCGTGTCTGTGTGTGTGTGTCTGTGCGCGCGCGCAGGCGGGCACCCCGGGGCCCAGGCAGCAGATGTGGGTGGCTGAGGCGGGCGGGCGGGCGGGCAGCCTGGCGCTCCCAGCTGGGCTGTTCGGGAGCCCAGGGGCAGCTGTCACCCCCGGGGCTCGGGCCGGGCTGCTCTGCAGAACCCTCCTCCAGAGGTGCTGCCAGCTGTGCCCGCTCTGGGAAAGCCGTGCGGGCCAGGCAGGCATGGGGCGTGGGGAGGAGAGGGTCTCGCTCCTGTCATCTCCGCAGAGCTCCTAGCATGTTTGGGCCTGGCGGGGCTGCCCCAGTCTGCCCAGCCTCCCCCCTGGCCTGAGGGATTCCTTCCTTCGTTCAGCAAATATTTATTGTGCCTTTAGCGTGAGCCCGGCGTTCTAGGCTCTGGGGAAGCAGCAGGGAGCAAGGCAGACGACGGTTGTTGCCCTCGTGGGGCTTCCGTTTGCGGGAGGAGGGGTGGTGGTTCTGTTGTGGTTTATTTGGGGAAGGGAGGGTCTGACCCTGTGGCTGGCGGGGAGTTTGGGACCCGAAATGCTGGTTTGAGAAACATCTCTCTCCGCTGCGGATGGACCTCTTGGGGCTCTCCGCCCTCCACCCAGCAAGCAGCCGGAGCCCCCCCACTCACTTCCCAAAGCGTTTCCCTCCTCACCGTTCTGCTGGGTCACATGCATCTTACAGGCGAGGCCAGGGGGCCGTGTGAGCCAGGGGTGCAGGGCCCCCGCCTGTCTGGGCCAGGCCCCCCACACCCCCCGACATCGCAAAGCCTGCATGGAGCCCAAGCCATGTATGTTCTCCCCAGGGGAACGTGGGTCTCGGGTCCCCTGCAGGCGAACCGAGGCAGGCACACACACGTGGGCTTCGGGGCCAGCTCCTCCTTTGGTTGGTAACATTGCACGAGGGAAAACAGGCTTGACCCTCTGGCTGGGGTGGCCGGGTCCAGACATGTGGGACACTTTTCTGGAGGAGCTTCCCAGCTTCTCCTTGGGAAGGGGGTGGCTGTCGGGAACTGGTGCCCTCTGCAGCCCCTGGCGAGCACCAGCGTGGGGCGTGTGATCTGCTGGGACAGAACAGGGGACCCCCCCACGCCTTCCTCCCCTCCAGGCAGCTGAGCGGGCAGGTGGAGCCATCACGAGTTCACAGTCCTCTCTCCAATCCGACGTTTCCCGTGCACGGGGCATGGGAATGTTGGGCAAAGCTCCTGAACGGCAGTCCGGCTTCCAGTGCCGACGTAGGGCCGGTTTTGGTGGATAACGCACGAATGGCGAACGTGTTCGACGCCCAGCTGGAACAGGTCTGGAATCCGCTTCAGCTGGGGACACTTCTGCCGGCTCCTCCTCCTCCTCCTCCTCCAGTCTTAACCTGCCCCCGGTGCGGGCTGGTGCCACTCCCCGACGTGAGCCGCTCAGCCTGGATCCGTGCACGGAGGCCTGGGGTGCGGGGCGGGAACAGGAGCTCACGCTTGTAGCCGACGACCCCGGCTTGAACGCTGGCCCCGCCATTGCCTTGCTTTGTGACCTTGGGCAAATGACTCAACCTCTCTGAGCTCCTTTCTTCATCCTTACGAAGGGCTGATGGTAGCACCTGCAGGCTGGGTGAGGGTTCATTGAGAATGGAGCGGCGTGTGGCTGTGCAGCGCACAGAGTAAGCTGTCGTTATCATTCACCGTTGTTTTAGTATTACCGTTCGCACGCAATGACTGTCGCTTGTGGTGACCGCTGTTAGAACCCATAGCCAGGCATGGCCACGGGGCTAATGAAAGTGACAGGAAGTCGCTTCCCACGTGCCAGGTAGGTTGCAGACGTTTGCGTGAATCGTAGCACGTAATTCTTATACCCCAGAGGGTTGATTCTCTCATTATTCCCATTTGCCACGTGGGAAGTGGAGGCTGCCAGTGGATGCACCCCGGGTGGGACTAGGGTCCGGGTTCAGGGTGGCGCCCTGCCCAAAGCTGGGTCCGCCGCCCTCCAAACCTCCTCGTGCAAAAGCGCCTCCTGCTCTTCCTTCTCCACACCCATTCTTCTCTCCGGGTGCAGGAGCCCGAGTTGTAGCAGACGCACACGCGCAGACATGCAGACCCCGCCCCCCGTCCCTCCCTCCCCAGCCCGCAGAGACCACTGCCTTCTCTGCTCCCGGGGCCCCTGCCGTGGGCCGCGCAGGTAAGCGTCTCCTCCTGGTTGCCCCCGCATACACGGAACCCCTTGGGCCCAAATCACCCCCCCCCCCGTAAACCCTCCCACGCCCTGCAAGCTGTGAGTCATCTCCCGCCCCGGCCTCTCCCCTCATCCTCGGGTCCCGTTCACCGGCCCAGATTCCCCAGCCCACACACACCGCACACTCCCACAGGCGGGATTCAGACGCACCGCGGCGCCTGCGTGCTCACACATGCGCGTGGCACACCTGCCACCTGCAGACGCGCTCCACGCGGGCCCCCAAAACACAGCCACGTGCGCCCCCAGGCTTTGTCCACTCCCCACCTGCCAGGAACTCTGAATCCCCGCCGTCCTTTGTAGACGGGGAGTTAAGATGGCAGGTGCGGTGTTGAGCTGTGTTTCCATTTTATTTTATTTTATTTATTTGAGACAGAGTCTCACTCTGTTGCCTGGGCTAGAGTGCCGTGGCGTCAGCCTAGCTCACAGCAACCTCAGACTCCTGGGTTCAGGTGATCCTCCTGCCTCAGCCTCCCGAGTAGCGGGGACTACAGGCATGTGCCTCCGCACCCAGCCAATTTTTTCCTATTTTTTAGTTGTTTAGCTAATTTCTTCCCATTTATAGTAGAGACAGGGTCTCGCTCTTGCTCAGGCTGGTCTTGAACTCCTGAGCTCAAGCGATCTTCCCGCCTCGGGCTCCCAGGGTGCAAGGATTACAGGCGTGGGCTACCGCGCCTGGTCTTGTGCTTCCATTTTAAACCCACGAGTGTGCTGCTGATGACCCTTGGTGGAAGGGGGAAAATAATTCTCTCGTCTAAACAAAATAAACTACCGCTGGGCATATTTTGGGTGCTTGGTTGTGACCCTGTGACAAGTAAACTTTTTTAAAAAATCCAGATGCCCAGGCTGGGAGGAAGCAGGTGCCTACACGAGGAGATGCCACCAGTAGTAACCGGTTTCGGGAACAGAAAGAAGTGAGCCCGGCAAGGGGAGACAAAGCCTTTCCTCAGACTGCCAGCCACTTTGGGGGTGGGGGCGGAAGGTTCCGCAGGGGGAGAGGAGAAAGGAAGAGCAATCGCTAGTCCTTTGTTGCCGGTTATAGCTGAGGAAGGAACCTGGCCGCTGAGCAGCCTCCCTCAGCAGCTCAGCCCTCGGGCCACTTGCCGGCTTTCGGAAGCGGAGCTGTGAGGGGGGAAGTGTCAGCACCCTCCGAAAATAGCGTCCACGGTGTCGCTAGCGGGTGGCCCTGGCTGACGCTGGGAATTAATGTAGCTGACCCGAGGGAAGAGAGCTCCAGCAGTCTTCTCCGAGGACGGCGGCTGGCCCGAGGCAGTGTGGGGCGGGGGTCCCTG